CCTCCTGCAGATGCTCCCAAGCAGGAGCTCCAATCCTCTGGACCAGGAGCTCACCCTGACTCTGTGTGACTGACATGGGGAGTTCCACAGCTCTTCCTGTGTGGTACCACACAGACCCCAAAGCAATGGGGATTCAATCCACAAAATGCCCAACTCTGTCAAATTTCAGTCTGTAAAAGACACTGACAGTTGTATGTGATGGTAACTTCAAGCTTTGTTTAAGCTGTCAATGGTGCAAGGCATTTTTTTCAGGTTTCTTCAGATTCTACAGAATAAAAAATTCAATATCCATGTATTACTATCATTTCAGGGATTTCCAAAAACCATGAAGATTTCTTTTTAAGGAAATGTGCTGCTCAGGTTGCAAGTTTCTTGAATTTGGAATACAATATACAGCTGCTGGAGCAAGCAATGCCATGATCACAGAAATCCCAGAAAAAATCTGCCTAAAATTAGGAGTGGGTTTCTTGATTCTCCACCTATATTAAGTTCATGAATATTTTGACTATTTAAAGTTAGAACTTTCAGTAAGAGAAATTAACAATATTTTCACAGAAAGTTACAAAAGTTTGTTTGCGAGCTGTCAGACATCTTTGATGTGAATATTCAGCTTGGTTTTCCTTTGAAATTATTTGTTTTACCCAGTGTTGAGGCAACTTAAAGGGTTCAACAAAGCACTGCACGACCCTTCTGTAGAGCTCCATGCATCCTGAGGAGCTGGCACAGCCCTCTCCAAAGGAAAAGGAGCCACAGCTGTCCCTGCTTGCCTGGTGTCTGAGCACCCTTCCCAAGCTCTGTGATGCCACCTCATATTCATCTCCTCAAGCAGCAACTTCCAGATTTTTTTTTATCCTGGAATTTTAATTAGTTTCCCTGCACTAAATGATGAATCAGGATTGCTTAATTTTCTCATCTGAAAACACTAGAGAAGGAAGACAGAGCAGACATGATTACTGACATAATGAGCAAAGTTTATAGCAAGTCTTGAAGAGGAATTCTGAGAAGAGCTGACTAATGGTTTTACAATTAGGACTCCTTTGTAACCAAATATTTCTGTTAGAATTGCCCTGAAGATGAACTGAGGAATTCCTTTAAGTACTGGTCAAGATCAAAGCCTAATTAAAGCGAAAATATTGTCCCAAAATCTCCAGGCCAAAGCTCCCCTCTTCTCTTGCCATATTAGCAAACTACAAAGATGGATTTTCTCTCCCTTTTTTAGGGTTATAACCCAATTATTCCCTAACCAAGAACAGGAATCATTTTGAAGGTGCAACAGCACAGGTGGAAAATACTTTTTCTACCAAGTTAGAGCACAGATGTTTTCCTTCCCTACCAGACATTATTTCCTAAATTATATTTGCTCAGCTCCTCCCATGTTACCTGCATTTCACCTGAATTACAACACTGCTCCTTTCCCTTCACAATTTTCACATCTCTAACCTGCAGTTCAGAGCTAACAGCAGAAAAAGTTTTGCAAACTTTTGGAAATGTAACTAAAGTACAATTTTACCTCTGCAAGTACCTTGTCTCTTCTCCTATGTTACCTTTTCACTTCAGTTCCCAGGACTGGAATAATTGGCAAATTCCAATCTGGAGCACTGAAATCACAATTTGTTTCTGACTGATTACCAATCTGAATCTGAATGAAGGAAATATCTCACGTGCCCCCAGGGTGCCACCCAGAGCTGCTGCTGCTGCACAGAAGCTGCTGATGCCTCAGGATTTCCCCAGAGCTGCTTCAATGTGACTGTGCTGCCTCTGATCTCGCAGAAGGAAGTCCTGAGCCATCAGAGCAGCTGTCCTTTGCTCAGGAACTTACTGCCACATCGAATTTAAGGATCTGAACACAAAATGATTTGTGTTTCAAGCCCATGAAGTTTCCTGTGGCACCCATTGGTGCTCAGGCAGATGTGTTAGAGATTGCCAGGCTGGCCAGGGATGGGCTTTAGGAGCTGCCTGGCTCCCCAGAGCAGGGATTTAACCCAAACAGCTCCTGAGACCCTGCAGCCCAGCAATAGGGGGGGTGATGGTGGCAGTGATTGTGCCACATCACATTATACCCTGGGATATGGACATGACCCAAGGGAACCACCATGGCCCAGCTGAGAGCGTGTTTTACTCTCTAACACCTGTGCTGTGAGATTGCATCCTCAACCAAAATACACAGAAAAAAGACTTGTTCAAAAAAGCTCAAAAGATACCAGAATTAACAATTTTTTGCCTAGTTTTCCCTATTGAAATTAAATAATTTCTTTGTTTTTCTTGCTTAGAGCAGCACCTGTTTTGCTCTCTGGCTGCTGTACTCCCACAGCTCCCTCATTTCACAGCAGTTAAAGATCCAAAAGAGAGACCTATGAACACACAGGGTCTATTACAGAATATATTTTACAAGTTCTGAAAAAAAAAAGTGAGAGAAATTGTTTAGCAGGACATGGAACAAACTACAACCAGGGATCTTGGGCTGGGGAGGTACAGCAATAAGGCCCAGCACAGTTTTGGATGCTCAAATAGAAAATTTTGGACATAAGGAACACTCAAGTGCTCTACAGGCAAAGTGTAGTCACAAAATAGGAAAGGTAACAGGTGTCAAGAAGCAAAACAAGCCCAGTTTGCTCTACTTCTCCCAGAAGTTAAAATTCTGCATCTTGACCCTCCTTTGCCTTTGAATTAAATTCTGTGTGGAAAGATAAATAAGCCAATGAGGAAGAATGCAGACAATAAAATTGCAGCATAAAAATGTATTTCAGATGGTGAATATCAAATACAAAATGTAGCTAAACATGCCTCACCCCTAACTGCCCCATCCCCAGTAACCAAACTGGGGCATAACTACAGATACAGAATAAAAATAAACAAAGGACCAAAAGCAGAAACCTGACCAAGTGGTCAGGAGAAAATCTCCTGCATGTGCACAATTAGTACAGGAAGCATATTCACTTCAAGTAATCCACTTTTAGTCTTGATCTACCTTTCTCCAGCAGCTTCAAATTTAAACTAAGTGCCAATCTCCACATTTTAAATTGCAAATTACTTTTCTAAATCATTTAACAAATATCCTTGAAATTTCACATGTCAACAGCTCATTAATATCTACAGCAAATGTAGCTCTCTGAGAAGAAGCACAGATTTTATGTTTATTGAGACAGATAGCTGGCACAGAGAAATAGAGCTCCTTCAATTACTAGTTGGCAGAAGCTAACTTCAGTTTAAAATCAGTCTACAGCAATTTATGGCAACACTGCAGTGAAGTGACTATTTTGAATAAGATTAGCTACTGCTGATGGCAATGCTTGGACAGTGTTTATAAATCAAACTCAGAACTCAGTATTTTATAATAGGCCACTTCAGAACTATCTCCCATAATCACCTATGCAGTATATTATGATAAATGCAAACATGGCTGGAGATTAAAAGTAATAAAACAAGGTACACAAGGTAATGAGAGCAGGTAAACTATAAACAAAGACTTTATGCATATATGTGAGCAGTACCTGGTGCCTGACTTAACTCAGGCCTTTGTTCCCTGCAAAGATTAATCAATCAAAGTAGCACATCTAACACAGCTATTTCAGTAACCCCAAACCTCATTTCTTTATGAGAAAAAATTTAATTAATAATTCTGGTAATTAATGAAGGGAACTATTTACTTTGCTAAAAGGTAATATTCATCATAGCTAAAAACAGGCATGGATAACAGAAATCAAAGTTCCAGTGGCCAATACTATTACAGACTTTGTAAACTAAACAGTGCAATAACACAAGTCATTCTCATCAAGAGAATGGGATAATTCCTGTCAGGAATGAGAACCAAGGCACTAAACCTGCAGCCAGTGCTGCCTGGAGCAAAGCAGGAGCCATCACAGCATCCTCCACCACAGCACTCATGCTCCAAATCCCTGAGCCAGCGACAAAAACTGCCTGCTCTATTGATGGAAATACCAGCCCCAAAACAAGGCAGAGACAGAAACACAACATTACTGGTGCCAGAGGGAGAGACAGGAGTGCTGCCCATGCTGCCAGAGCCACAGCAAGCCCTGCAGTCAGTGCAGGCCACAAGGGGAAGGGACAGGAGGAACTTACGAATCCACGTGCAGAACTCTCTGGCCACTCCTGGCACACGCTGCTGCAATGATGGACTCGGGCAGCCCTGCAATGACACAGGCAGCTTTCAGAACTCACCATGCAGTGATGAGCTGGAAATTGCAATAATGGTACAACTTGGTCACAAGCAGGCAACTCAAACAAAAGAAATTTTACAATGTGAGTCACTGAAATTTTTAGCCTCATGCTACTAAAATAATGAACACTATTCTGTGCTCTTGAACATTTTGCTGACCCTCTTAAATGCAACTTTATTTTTATTTTTTTTTAGTAATTGTATGGCACATCCCACTTGCAGACCCTGCAGAGTTAAAGCTTGGCACCAGCATCTGCTCTCATAACCACACTGAGCCATTGCCAGCACAATGGCACCCAAAGCTCAGTGGGGTGCTCTGTACCCACATCCCTGGTAATGCTCCCAGGTATTACCTGAGGGTTCTGTTCACTTCAAAGTGAACAAAAGGACTGATTGTCTTTAAGAGTGGTATCCCTATCCAAATCACCCACATTTACAATTACACTCTACCAAATCAGTATGTTTTCACTATATCTAGAAAAAACAAAAGGCTGTGATAGCTCTGCCAGCAATACACGCTTGGAATGGCACAGGATCCCACTGGATCTCAATAAATAAATGGGGCTGTTCTGCACTGCCTGCTCCCACCCACCAGGTTTCACATGCCCAGTTCCATGCCTTGGATTCTGGAGCAGGTTCAGAAAAGCAGGACAAGCTCTGTGCACTAACTTCCCTCAGGTCTCTTTTGCAATGATCTGTTGGCTGTTTAAGCAAGTAATTCTGGATCAGCAATTAAAATCCCAGGGACTGGTGTTAAAGACACTTAGGCCATGTATTCAGTTAAGGGATGGGATGAAAGGAAGTGAAAGGATTTCCAGCAGCACCAGAAGCAGCTGCAGAGACAGAACTGGAAGGGGAAGAAGCAGCTGTGGAAGGGCCCAGTCCTCTCTGGCTCACTCCATGACAAACTTCATCTCCAGCAGAATTCCAGGCCTGTGCTGTCTGCTCCTTACACAGAACAGAGCCCCCACCAACAAATAAACCTTGCAGTTTAGGAAACATCCCCTGGCAGCTGGGTACACAGGCCACAGCTCCACCAACCCTTCAAACCAGCAAAGGCCAACAGAATCATCAAAATAAACCTCTGCCCTCATCATCTGCCCCTCCTGACCTCCTTCCAAATCAAATAAATGGTCAGTTTTTGGAGAGCAGTTCCATGGCGTTGTCCAAAAGTATAAATATTTGTATCAATACAAAGAAGGAAGTGCAAGACAGGCATGACAAATTTTCCAGGAAAACAGCTACAACTTCTCTGCAAATTTTCTGGTTTTAATGATTACTTTTTCAATGGATTTTTTAAAAAATCCTGGTTTGAATTGATAAAGCAGAAAAAGTGGAAATAGTTTTGCATTGCTGACCTTTCAGAGCAAGTGAAGGTTTAACACAGAATTAACCTCCAGGGCCAGAAGGAGGGATGAACAGTTGCAGCAGTGCCTGGGATGTTTGTTCCACAGCCTAGAAAGGCCAAAAGTCCTCAGAGTTGAATTTTTAGAAAAAGACCTCATAACACAGACCAGTGTGACCAAGGAGAAAATACCCAAGTGCAGCACACACTTCAGGATGCCATGAGACCCTGGCTGCACACAGCCATTATTGAGAGCTCCACACTCAGCTGTCCCCCATGTTTATATATACGGTTCATTTTGCTCCCTCTATAAACTATCTGGAATAGAATCTACAACTACTCTGTGTTTGGAGTTCCCAACAAAGCTTTTCTTTCCCTCATTGGGGCACAGAGAGTATTACTCTAGAAATGGAATTGAGAAACTTGTTTCTCTTTCCTTATTGATAAAAGCCACTGAGAAAGTGTTGTAAAACATCAGCAGTGCTGCCTGGCTGACCTGGGCCGAGTTATAGCTCCCAGGGCATAACTGATTGCTGGAAGCTTGATCCAATTGATACTGTGCTGGAGGTCTGTTCTTCCATTAACCTTGGATGAAATTGTTCCCTGAATTAGCTTCCTCTCTCTTGAAAGCTGGCATCAATTTTCTTCACCAAGCCTGTGATCTAAGACACTGTGGCCCCCCACATAGCCAGTGGTGAGAGTGGAGCATGGCTGGCACACCCCAGCTTTGGGAGAGGCTCCCAGCACCCCCTGGAACAGGACAGCCTTTGCTCTGGGGGACAACACCTCAGGAAATCCAAGAAATAAATAAGTGTTACATGGCACCAATTTCTGAACTCTCCAACAGAAGCAAGGGTACAAAGAAAAGAGGCATCTTTGTCAAATGCAAGTTCCTCCTATGTGTGACCTGTATTGCATGGTGGTTACTGAACAACAGCCTTTTCCAAGAAAAAGGGTTCTGGACAATTACAACATAATTATGCATTGTCCTTCTCTAGCTAGGAAAAAACTAACTTGGAAAAGCCTGCTTAGAGAAATGGCAATTTATGAAATCACAGCATGGAAAGCTGAACTGCCTCTGACAGGATGCTCAGAGAGTTGTGCAAAATAGGTTCCCTTCAGATAATCCAGTAACAGAGAAATGTGTTTTTAGAAACTGTTCGTACTTGGAAACAGCCTCCTGAGCTGAACTTTGATTTCTCAAAAGCCCTAAAATGGATTACACTCAGGTTGTGAAATGTGCTTAGATCCTCACTACAAGGCACACTCATCCTCCTGCGTTTGGCTTCCCATTGGAAAGAAACAAAGTGGCAAGCAGACTGAATTGTAACATTAATTAGCTCTAATTAACTAACAAACACGGCAGCATGGCCACTTCAGTACACAGATGAAACTGAGGTTTGTATCAGTTTTAGAAGTAAAAAAGAAACAGAAGAAATAGCTACACATGATTTAGTTATCCAAAAACCAATTCTATTTTTAGTTCCAATACAACAAAATTAAAGCTTGAGAAAAACGCTAAGGTGGAAAACTTTAATTCAGTTTTTAAAGCCAATTAATTTCTGAAGTCTCACAAAATCATGAAAACTTATAATTCACCTCTGTGTGACCAAAAATTAATTTTAGGCTTACACACTGTCTCCTGCTTAGCTCTGGTGCTGCAGTGCCTCTTGCAGTGCCCTGAAAAGGGCTCAGCCACTGCCTGGGCAATTTCCAAACTCAGCAGCTCCACATCTCTGGGAAATCCTGGTGCTGAGCTGCAAACTGCTCTGCACTCAGCCAGATAAGTTTTTACTGAAATACACAAGATCCATCTTGAAAAGGCTTAAATGTTTAATTTGCTTCGCTCTATCTACTAAATAAATCACAAGTGGCTTTTTCATAATATAAAATGTTGAAGGGAAATATATAAAAATGTTGGAACACAGACAATTTCAAAACAATCTTCTGGAGTCAGGCAGTTCACCAGCTGCAATACATTTTGTTTGCATCTGAACTTCTAAGTAGAGAAGAGCAGCTGATTCTTGAGGAGCTCACTACAGAATACTCATGGTGTGGTTTTGGTATATGTGAAATTTTAACAGAATTTCATAATTAATTGCAAATTAAAATACTTCTTGTATGTAATATTTTAAGATAAAGATAATTAAAATTTTTAATTTTAATATTTGCTCATATTGCAGAGCAGTATCAGAAAATACTTCTGCATTACAGAGTATGGCACAGAAATGCCAACCCACTGGGATAACATGTTACTGGTCAACAAAGAAGCCACAAGCAAAGAGTGAAATTGCACACACTTATCTGTGTCTCACCAGAGGAGCTTGGCAATGAAAACCATTCAATCTCACAGCTGGTGTAAATGAACATTTAGGAAAGGAATGCAAGCACCTAGGCTTGAAACAAAAATTTAACTTATTAGTAAAAATTACACTCACACCTAGCAAAGTTCTCCAGCACAAACTACAGCTCAGAGCCTAATGTTTGGTTTAAAGCAACAGCAGCAGACAAAGCAAAGCACTTGAATTAAAGGATCTGTATAGCAAGACACATGCTGAGCTTTATTCTCACTCCAGGCTTCTAATACTTTCA